CAGGGACGTGCAGCAGTGTGCAGCAGCATGCAGCAGCATGCAGTGATGTACAGGGACGTGCAGCAGCATGCAGCGATGCGCAGGGACGTGCAGCAGCGTGCAGCAGCACGGCAGGCTCCGGCTCAGCGCGGATCTGGCCGCGGCGGCCGCTTCCCGCGCGTGGCCCCGGCACCTCCCGCCTTGGCAGCCTGCGAGGCGCTTGGCAGCGAGCGAAGCTGCCGCCCCGGGCGCGCGGCTCCGAGCAGCAGCCCCTTTGATGTCGCAGGGTTTTCCTTGACTCGAGCCCTCCCGAGGGCCCTTCCCCTTCGGCCCGGCCGCTCCATTTACGCACGGCCCCGGCAGCTGTTTTTCTCATTCCGGGCTCCTCCTGCTCCGGAGGTTTCCCTGCGTGAGCTCCCCGCAATAACCTTGCTCCGCGCACCAGGCACTGGGACAAGCTGTGACTGCGCCGGGGCCGCCGCCAAGGCCCAGCTTTGAGCAAGGGCTATTTACAGTAAAAATAAACACATCCTACAAAATGTATCAAGGGTACAAGTGTCGGGCAAATAAGCTCTTTCCATTCGCTTAATGTCAAAGGGATGTGCTCCTGCTCCCCGCGCACTTGCTCGCTTAGGAAACCAGCCTGGAGGACTAAGTTCAGGAAAGAAGATTTTTATGGGGGAATTGTTTGGGGTTTTTTTTTTTTTTTTTTTTTTTTTTTTTTTTTTTTGTTTTTGTTTTTTTTTTTTTTTTTTTTTTTTTTTCATTTTATATAACGTCACCAATCAATAGGTGGGTCACAAACCTTGGGAATGTTTTTTGGAAGGGCTCAGTGGAATCAAACACCTCATTTGTCGCAGTGAATTGCAGATTTTCTTCTTGGGGCTTTCACGAGGCACGTTTAGGAAGAACCTTGTTGGTGGCAAAGCAAGTTTCGGTGCCTTCTCCCCGGTGTTGGAGCATCCGAAGGGGGCTCTGGGCTGCTCAAGCTAAAGCTGTCRGGCTAAAGGTGCTGGTTAAATCAGGAAATAAATAATCCCTGATTCCTGCTCTTGGAGCTGGTTTGACATGGAAGAGGAGTGGAGGTTGCTGCTCCCGGTTGGATGCTCCTAGGTTGGGGCTGCGGAGGGAATCCCACTGTATCCCACTGTGTCCCGCCGTATCCCGCCCGCTGCAAGGACAGGGCCCGTTGGGGCGGCGTCCGGGCGCTCCGGGGTGCCGCGGTTCCCAGGACACCTGCTCAGCCGTTAGAGCGCGGATCAGCTGCGAACGCTGTTACTAAACTTGGCCCGGCAGCTGCCTACAACTTCAGCAGATGTTTCTAATTTTCAGCRCAGTGGAAATTTCTTGAATCACTTCTAAACCCCATTCCTAGGGAGGAAGCCTCTAGTGACTCATCACTCAGTGAAGCCATTGGCTCCAGAGCAGACCCTGGCTGACGGACGAGCCCCCTGAGCCGTCCAGCTCACTTGTCTCCTCGCTCGTGTGTGCCAGGGCAATCGTCCTGCACAGATCAAGGGCCCTAAACGCACGGATCCGACCCGCCCTTCCCGCCTTCCCTTCCACCCCATTCCCACTGCCTGTGGTTGTCAGGGCAGGGAGCGCTCCGAGAACAGGGTGAGTCAGCCCGAGGAGATGGACCGTGACCGGCGTTTCAACACCTAACCAAGAGAACAGCCTCTGCTCACATGAGGTCATGCTGAACTTGTGGCTTGCTGGCCGGCCCCGGACGACTGCACGGGGCTCTCGGGTGTCCCTGCCGGGAGCAGGAGGGATGAAGATGCGTGTCCTGTTGGCATCCCCTTGTACAGCAGGGCCGTGGTGGGTGCAGGACACCTGCAAAGTCGGCTGGTGGCTCTCAGACATTCTCTTCTGGATGGTCTCGTGTCTTCGGGATCCCACTCCTGCAGCAGAGCCGGTGTGGGRAGATCAGCTCCAAGGGTTGGTACCACTGGGGCAAATCTAGAGGAGAGCCTGTGTTTGCATTTGGGAAATGATACCSATTTGTGGAAGAGAGCGCATGAGATGTCTGTCAGAGGGGGCTGTGGCTGAGGACAAGCAAGGAGGATGAAACAGGAGAGGGTGTCGGGCTCTCGTCGGCAACGGCAGAGGTGTCACCTGCCATGAAGGAGTTGGGCTCATGTCACCCGCCCAAGCGCTGAGCTGCTCCTGTTGGGAGGCAGCAGGAACCAGGGCAAACGCTACAAAGAGCTGCAAGATGTTCCTGTTTCCTTCTGGCCTTTTGCTGTCACATCTGTGGCCCTTTCAGCAGGTAAAATGTGGTTTGCTGACAAGCTCCTGTGGTTCGGGGGCTGAATGGCAGCTTTGAACGTGTGCACGGGTGGGATGTGGTCATGTGTGGAGGGAGCAGCGCTCTGTGGGGCAGAGCAGCCCTCCCTGCTGTGGTCTGAGGGGGGATCTTTGCTTCTTCSTGCAGATTCTGCTTCACCCCAACAGTGGTGCAGCTGGGAAGGACGGAGAGATAGAGGCGCTACGAGTGGCTCAGTACAAGGTGTTCTACACAACAGGTACCACGTCCATCCTGGAGATGATAAAAGTTTAGGAAAAAGCATCTAAAAGTTCTTGGTTCCCTGCTGAGAAGTTCTTGGTTCCCCGCTGATAGGCTTAAAAGCCAAATCAGATTAATACAAGCAAGAACAAGTATTTCCTTTCCCAGCAAGGAGTAAGTAAATGCCCACACGTGTCTGCATGATGTGCTTTGCAGCACGGGGTTGTTGACCTTGGAAGTGTTCTTGGACTAACAGAGGGGCCCGGGCTCCCGATGTTGGGACGTTGTGCACTGAGAGCCCCTCTCTGGCTGCCTCCCTTCCCCCTGAATTCCAATTGTGGGGCTTTTCTGGGCCAAAACAAAATTGCATGCTTAAAAACAGGGCAGTGCTGAGGGGTTGGGGCTAGTTTGAGGAGGTGTTTAGCCTGAGGGTGCCGTTCCACAGAACATCAAAGCCGGTTTCCTGCTGCAGGGCTGTGACTCCTGGGCCCTGGCAAGGTCTGGTTTTGCTCTGTGTTCGGGAGTGTCGCTCAGGCCGTGGGGCAGAGCGGGTGCCTCATCCTGTGGTTGGGTATTCGGGTCCATCGAGCTGCGCTGCCTCCAGAGCCTCCGGTTGCCGGTGCTCTCTGGAGCTCTCAGCTGCATCTCGCTGCTGCCCTCGTGTCCGGGCAGCCACAACCTTTGGGCTGCTCTCAGGCTTCTTCTGCTTCCCTGTGGTCAGTGTGCTCAGCCCAGGGGCTGCTCGTGGTCCCTCCATGCCCGCACGGCCTCCAGATGTCCTTCTGTCCAGGGTGGTCCTGGAGACCCGGCTGCAGCCTGGCTGGAGTCCTGCAGCTCCTGCTGAACCCTCAAGTTAAAACCACCCAGGGCAAATTCCTGCCAGACCSTGTAGCCACCCTGGGGCCTCTCCCTTAGGGCATTTCTGCAGTGTTTTCCCCCCAGTGTCAGGCACGGCTGTCATGGATGGGTGACAGTGAAACCTCGGCAGTGGTGACCAGCCTGGGAGTGGGGTTCCCAGGAAAACCAGGGTTTTCCTCTCGTTCCCKGCCTAGGAGGAGCTCGGGCTTGCGACGGAAGCGTTGGGCCGGAGGAGCATCACGAGCCGCCGCTCATTTTCAACTTGAATCACGATATCCGGGAGCAGGAGCCCTTGGACGTGGCATCCCGGGAATACCAGGATCTGTTGCCTGCCGTCCGCAGGGCTTACGCAGAAGCTCTTTGGGACATCGCGACGGACAACGTCTCTGTGGCAGATTATTCCCAGGATCCTGCAGCGATTCCCTGCTGCAGCGCCCGGCACGTGGCCTGCCGGTGCCACGCGGCGCCCGCGGCCTTGCACCCTCACACAGAGGGAGCAGGGCAGCTTTGTGGTTAATCTCCCGATGGCTTAAACTGCTCCGTGGCTGATCCCGCCTTGTGATAACTGCTCCTCAGCCTGGCTCTGGGCTCGAGGTSGCCCTTGGAGGATGGGGATGGAGGCTGTGGTGGTTCCCTACCGGTGTAGGTGAGTTGAGTGTCTGGGCTTGGGTGGAGAAGGTCCCTTCTCCTGCAGCTCCTCACAGAGCAGGAGTGTCCCCCCAGCAGGCCCATTGCTGCCAGCCGAGCGGGTCTTGGAGTTACCTGCTGGTTCTGGGCTTGTGSAAGAGAAGGGAGATGAGGTTTTGTAGAGCTCTTCAGCTGAGGAGGAGACAGGTCTTGGATGAAAAKTGCCTCCTCCACGAGCTGGCTTGTGGTGAATCCCTCTGGGAGATTCTCTTGCCTTTCCGTGATAGAAAATGAGCCTTATAGCAGAGGCCTAGGGGAGCGTGAGGAAGGGAAGGGAAGGAAGGGACCGCCCACAGCCTCCAAACAAACATCCCTTGCTGGTGTTGAGATCCTGGAAGTCTGTTGTAGAGAGAATATTTCCTGCCTTTTCCGYGCCAGGACAAGGTGAGTGCTCTGGGAAATGAAGCACCTGCTTCTCTAGCTGCCAAGTGAGGCTTTTTTTCCAACTGAAGTTGCCTTAAAGACCAGAGGGGCCTTTGMGAGGGTCTTTGTCTGTAGCAGAGAGGGATTTGGGCTCTGGTGCCAGCTGCCCTGTCCTTTCCTGGCTTCTTGCTGGGCACAACCTGTAGCTTGGACTAAGGCTGCTCTGCACAGACACTGCGAAGTGCAGGGGTTACTCCAAGCTCACAAATAGCCAGGTCACTGAACGGGCTGTTTGGGAATGTGCATGAGAGGGGTGCAGGGCYGGGGTGCAGAGCCAGGGTGCCTCTTCCCTGCCACCTCTTTGGGAACAATTCGTTTTTACCCAGCGCGTAGCTGCAGCCTCGGGCGAGTTGAGCGGAGCGCCCTGGAGCTCCAGGCTGCAGGCAGAGCTGCAAGGGCAGAGCCACAGGAGCAGCTGCATCCTCAGCACGGCCAGGGTGTCTCAGCAGCCCAATGAGGCCTGTCCGAAACAGCTGYGACTCCCATTGAGGCAGCCAGGTCCTTCTCTCAGACCTTTCCTTTTCTGGGACCCACCATCCCACCCGCTAAAACTTCATCAAGACTGACATCTTTAGGGCCCCACCAAGAACAGCAGGAGCACGGGCAGCCGGGGACAGGCTGTGACTTTATTCTCCGTCATTAAACACAGCACATTTCATCTTCTCTAATATCACTGCAAAAATACTTTGCCTGGGTAAAATAGTATGTATATACTGTACAAAGACATAAGTTCAATATATCTTCCTATAAGTACATTTATACACATAAAACAGCATAAATTAGAAAAGGGAAAAACAAGTATATAAAATTCTGGTTATTACATACAAATCTGATTAAATTAGCATTTACACTGTGGTTCTACCATGGAATTTGTTAAATATAGCGCTGTGCATACAGTACGTGAACACCCCACCCAGACCCCGATGCGAACAAGGGACTAGCGGGGCCAGGTACTCAGATAAACACTCAAGGAAAAAGCAGGGCCCCACCTGGGATTTTCTTCCTCTCCTCTGTGGGACTCACAGACCCTCTCTTGGACATTCCTGGCTTTTCCGAAGGGCCTCCCAGCCGCCGTCCTGCGCGCGGATGTTTGCTTCCCATCACGACCTCCTCGCTTTGCCCGGCTGACCTCCGCGGCACAGGATTATCTACCAAAATCAAAACACAGCAGCCTTAAGTTTTCTTTTTTTTTTCCCAGCAACAGGGTGTGTTTCAAGTCGGTTTTATGCACATGGGAGCAGAACGGGGAGGAAACTCCTGCCGTGTTCTGCTTTCCATTTCAAGGGGAAGCTGGTTTATTTATTTTCCCCCTCCCCAAATTCACAGGSCTGAGAACAGGAACCGTCTGGCTCGGTGACAGCTGTGCCCCGTGTCTGCCCGGCCCTGCTGAGCACAGACCCACCGTGTTGATTCGGGAGGGTGGGACTCGCTGCCTCCCCAACRGCCTCCCAAAACTTGGGATCGACCTGGGCTGCCGAGGTGGGAGTCACAACCTGCTCAGCACTCCCTTAGGTGAGAGGAACCCTAAGTATCCGCCAAGCTTCTGTCCCCAAGGGGATCTCTGCTGGACACCAGCCCAGCTCCGCGTCTCGCTCAGCTCCAGCCTTTCCCGAAGCGCCCCGATGTCTCCCAGCCATGCACGTGTCCCTGCAGCCTCCGCTGCGGGAAGGTCGGACTCTGCACGGACTTGGGAGCGTCACTTGCCCCGTTGTGAGGATCACGGTGTTGGCACCAGGCTGTGTGTTGCCAGAGGGACCTCGAGACAAGCTGGGCTGCATCCTGCAAGGCCGGGCTGCCCCRGGGCCTGCTGGAGGCAGAGGGAGCTGGACGGGGAGCCTGGCCACGCTCCGGCCATGGGAACGTTGTGGCTGTGGGGCTGGTGACACCGCAGGCGTGACACTCCTGCCCGTCCTTCAAGGAGGAACCGGGATGAGGATGCCCTTCAGGGATCATCAGGATAAGACCCGCACAAGCAGCGGGGTTCCACGCCGGCCTGGGCTTATTGCACCGAATGCAGCCACACTCCGATAAAACCTTGGGATCAGCTCTGTTCCCCAGGCCCCGGGTCACAGAGCCTGCTCAGGGGCACAGCCACAGGCGGGCAGTGATGCTGGAAGCCTGGAAAAGCCTGAGGAACCTGCTAGAAGAAAGACACCTTATCTACTGAGGCTCAGAAGCTTTAAAAGTCCTGCTGGTAGCTGTTCCTCAGGTCAGCATGCCTTGGTGATCCATCGTGGCCCAATCCTGTAGGAGTTCTTGGGTGGCACCTCAAAGCACAACCCACAGCTTTTCTAAAGGTGATTTTGGGGGGCAACGGGGATGGCTCCTGAGCTCTCTCCGGCACGGAGCATATACCCACCATCCCCAAACTGCCCGAATCCTCTGCAGCTCTCACCAACTAATGCAAAAGGGGTAACTGCTTGGACAGATAGCTGGAAAACAGCAGGAACTGACACACCGTTTGCAGCCCTAACTGTAGGTCAAAGCAGAAGCCAATGTCAAATAAACAGAGCTGGGTTCGTCCTTGCCCTGCTGCAAGGGTTTGATGGGTGCAAGGGTGACGCAGCTGCTCTCAGCCATCTCGGGCCCAGCACCTTTCCTGCGGTTACATTTGAGCCTGCTGTCCATCTCAGTAACATCTAAGTACTTTCCACAGAAGATCAGCAGCAACTCCAGCCTCCCTAGTGGACCCAAAAGCTTTTAATCCAGCCCTATCAACGCAAACAAGATCTGTAATTGAACTTGGATAACCTCCTGCTACAGGATTCCTCAGCAGTACTGGCCTAGCCAGGAACAGCATCCACATTAATCCTCGTTGAGGCCAGTCTTTAACATCACCTACGTCCTCCCCAGGTATCTCATCTCTTCTCCGACCTGTCCCTCCTTCTGGTTAATGAAGAGACAGTTTCCTGCAATCAGGAACAGATTTGGTGTTAGACTGAAGCTCTCTTTCCTTATAGGAGCCTCTGGAGTCCTCACCAGCACTTGAGGTCGGGGAAGGCAAAATGCTGGAAATCAGAGGGGCGCTGGGGGCTGCTCCTCCCCAGAAATATATCCGAGTTCAAAGCCCTTCTCGTGGCCTGGGCTGTGGGCAAATATTCCATTTTGTCACAAGTTTTGAGGTTTTTGAACGTCTTTTTGTTGCACACTGCAAGACAAACAAAACCCTTCCCACGTTTCCACAAAAGAGAATGCTGTCAAAACATTTTTGTTGGATAAGGTCAGGTTTTCTCTCCCTCCTTCGCACAGAAGTGACCGAACCCCCTTCTGAACGAGTCATTGAGACCGAACATTTCAGCACTGAGAAAACAAGAGAGCTCAGTGAAAATTTAGAGCATCAAAACATCCTGACCAGCTCTTGTTACGAATTAACACAGCAGGAGCCAGTGCTGCAAGGACAGCGGATGCAAAACACGTTACCACGAGCACCAGAGGGGCAAAGCAGAGGTGCTCGTGCACAGGCCGTAGCTGGAAGCTGCTATTGCTAAACCACCTATCGAACAGTATTTTTGGAAAGCTCCTTCCTTCCCACACGGCCTCCTCCCTGCACTACACACGTAAGTGGCTCTGTCAGGTTGATTCTGACAGATACAAGGCTATTAATAAAGCGCCTGCTGCTGTTCAGCAGGGATGGGGCTCATTCAGCAGGACGGSGCAGCTCGTGGAGGAGCAGCGTGAGGAGCTGCCATGTCTGTGATAGGATTCTGTGATAGGATTTGCTTGTGCCCAAGCCCCACATGCAAGCGTAGGTGCAGAGAAAGCAGAGGGTTTCTGCCTCCTAGGAGCATTCCTCCCAGGTCCTGCGCCGGCAGCTCTGACATTTTAAATATCCTTCCTAGGAAATGGAATAGGACAAACAGAACACTTCTGTTCTGAGTTTGTAGTAGGTTTTGCTACAGGTAACAAAAGAGAACTGATCCCAAAGCTTATGTGACTTGAAAAGCTGGATTTAGGTAGTGTTTAAAATGGAGTCACGAGCTAGTCATCTCTTTCATAACACTTGCATCAGCCTAAAGTGCCTTGCAGAAGAGGTCAGCCTCAACATATGGAACAAATCCTGGGTCCCCAGTAAAGTTTTTACTTCCTCCTCCTTCAGGCAAAATTCCAGCAGCAGGATGTCTAAAAACAGAGTAAGGGATTCACAAGTCTGCCAAGTTTGCAACTTGAAATCCATTGCAATATGCTGCTGTAGCAATGCATTACTATTATGAAGGCTGTACTAATTACAACCAGTTCTTATCATGGTAACCAAGCTCTGTGAATTTAAGGATTAAATATTTAACATAATAAATGCTTGTATAGTAGGAGGAGGAACAGGAGAGACACTGCTAGGCTTAAGTTAGACTTCTAGAAGCCAGTATATCCCTCCAATGACAACTGAGAAGATGCCATTTAAAAATCATAAAATAATTCAGAGCTCTGTTAGGCTTTTCTTCTTTATATTGGGTAAAGGAGTTTGCTTTTTAGTCAGCTCAGAACTAAGGAGCCCGGTGATACTCAGTTATATCCTGGTTGCTTTCCCATTCACTAACACGGTTGACTGAAAATGCTGCAGGGAATAGTGAGTGTTTATTTCTAAATGAGGTGTGTTCAAATTGAAGCTATTCCTGTTAATACTCAAGATATGCACAAGGCACAAAGGTGAGATCTGGATCTGAACATCCCTCTGCACCTGAGCTTCATTCAGCTGGTTTGTTTAGATCCATTTCTAGTTATTAAATTTCATCATCTTTCCCCAGCCCTAGCTGCCATTGAGTGGGGGTGTTATCTTCCTGGCACTGTCCCTGTAGCTTAATTAGTTATTTTAAGCTTCACAGTGAACTGGGACAAGGTAGGGGCAACAAGATCTCTTCTGTAAGAGGTTAATACTTTCTTCTTAGCATGAGGGTTGTATTGCTGTTTTAGGGATCCTGAATGCTCACAGGAGGAAACTCATTCTCGTCATCAAGACACACTGGTCCGGTTGCAAACTCGTGCTCTGGGATGACCTCTCCTCGCAGGGCACCACCATCCTCTGAATAGCCTGCCAAAGTAAAAATAACACTAAGGTAAGAGACAATAACCTGAGAGTTGCCGAGTCCTTTCCTACAACAATTCGGTGCTTGCTTCATTACTGAAAGGTTTAACAAGTGTAAGAAAATCTGTAGAGATCTTGGCAAAATGAAATCTGGAGATCGGACTTCTATAACGGTGGCTTTACCTGTTGGACACCAGTCTAGCAGCAGCTGCTGTTTGACAAAGTGTAAAACAAGGTGCCCGTGCTCACTGCTCTCCTCGCGGGCTTCTGCACAAGTACCAGAAGTGAGTCCTGGGAAGCAGAACCAAACTCCTGGCCTGTTCTCAGGGGCAGAGGATGACCCGTAAGCTCACGAGATCCCTGGCACGTGCATTGCCCAAGTCATGTTTCTGGCCACCACGAGCCTCTACAGTTCAAGGATTTCCCGTTCCGCCCCACGAGGCTTTTGTGCATCTGCCTGAGGACGAGCGACCCGACACT